TGTCGTGGGTTTTGAGACTTTTACAGATATTTATGTTCCAGACCCTTCCTACGGGAAGATAATTCAGGAGGTAAATAACAATCAGCGACATGATATCGTTTTGCATAATGGGTATCTATTTCGTGGATTGCAGTTGTGTGTTCCAGATTGTTCATTAAGATAGCATATTGTTAGTGAACTTCAACACAATTTTAGTGCATCATCACTGAGGTAAAGGTTTCAAAGGATAAAGAGAACACATATAGTTTTCAAAACAAAATTGCTTCAAGATCAAGCAGTGATGGCATTTGTTCTTGGAGCACCAAATTTATATCCACATAGCACATCATTCCCAAAACAACCTCATAACCAACATTATCCGAAACGGACATTGCTTCAAGATCAAACATTGACGGCATTTGTTCTTGGAGCACCAAATTTGAATTTATTCCAGAAATAGAAGCCATCAATTACTTTCTCGTCATAATTTACAACACTATTGCTCTGCACCAACGAAAGAATAACACAAGATGAAATCATTAATTGCTTCAACTAATATCTAAAACTATTATCTTTGAGACAGCAGTTGGCGCTAACTTAAATCATGTTTACTATCCACTTTGTTGCTTTCCACATCATGAGGATATATATCCTACTTTACAAATATATTTCCCAGTAGAGAATTCAGAGAAAAAAATAATTATAAAATATGTGAATACATTGATTTCTCTCCTAGACATCTTCTCGCCAAAAATAAAACAATATAGAAACCACTATAAACATAACATAGAAATCCAACCATTCCTTTACCCGCACGGCTCAATTTAAAGAAACTCATGTGAAATTGACTGGTACATTCAAGAGAATCGAATCAAAAATTTGAAAACTAATAACTGAATATAGTTGATAATTACCCAATATCGTTGAGACAAAAATTCAGAGAGGCTTTGCGAGGGTGAGCCCCTGAGGCTAATCTGTTTGGCGGCGTTTATCTGAGTGGTTTCCGGGTCACTTTCCTTTCGACCCTGATCCGAAACGCTGATTGCCAAGGCCAACTCCACCTGGAACTCCTTGTCAAAGAAATTAAAGCTATAGAAATTCTCGTTTTCCGAATTCAATGTCGTCTGAGGTAAATCAGTTGGTGAACTTGCTTTTTTCCAGATTACCAAAAGAGTGAGATGAAGTTTCCAACTCTGTGTGAGTGCACGTGTGAACGTACTAAATACCATATTACAAAGAAGAAGATACAGGTTTTAAAGTTTTAGCAACTTAACTTGCACGTTGTCATTAATATTTTAGTAACATACATTTGCATATTGCTGTTAATGTTTTAAGAACATCCAGGTGCACATTGTTGTTACTTGTTTTAGCAATGTACATATGCACAATATCATTTTGTACTTATTTTAAAAAACTTAGGGTACTTGGTTTCCATCTACTATAGGTGGATAATAGTGTTACTAGATTTTTATTTTATAATACAACATAACTATATTATAGCCAGATGAAAGATACAAGCTTTTAGTTTCATGTGTCAAGGCAACATAGACAAAGATGTATAAAGTAAGTCGTAATGAATCTCAACATATGCATGAATTATTTCATAGATGCGTACATAAAAAGATATTGAATTCTAGAGAGCTATTTGAGGTATGTAAAGAGAGAGATACACAGCTCTATTTGTTAATTTGTAGTCCCAAGACAACCGTAAGACCTCTGACACTGCATGTGTAATGATCAAGGCTTTGTGTCCAAGTCTTTATATCATACATACTATCTAATTTGGGAGAATCTGAGCTTATCTTACTCCTTACGAATTTCTGACGCGTTGCTACCTTTAATAGAGTGCAAGAAAATTGTAGATTTGGAGATTTGGAAAGCAAGGTGATTCAACCATTCAAAAGATCTTGGAATTTATCATTCAAATAAGTATCTTGATCCGAAATTCATGTTAAAGTATACTGAGAATTACTTTATTTGTATCAAAGTCATAATGTTGAATTCCTTACTGTAATACATGCTTAAATATCCCATTACATGACACAATTGGGTTATGAATTTTACATGTAAAGTTTTGAAACCTTATGTGATTTTTAATGACATCTTTTGATAATTTAGTGCTTTCCATAAATTAATAATTATGCAGTAAAATTAATATTGATAGAAAGGTATTTTAATGAGCTTTCCAACCATATAAATAACTTGAATTTTGGAGTTAAAACAAAGAAGTTATGAGATTTTGAAATTTGGATGTAAATCTAAATTTTGCATGAAGATTGGTAAAATTTGAAACTTCGTCAGATGATAACTTCTTTTACATAGTGTTTCATGCATCCCGTTTGTATAGTTGGATAGATCTTCTCGAGACCTTTCTAATGATATAAACATCAATGAAGAAGTTATGGCCTCTCAAAATTTGGATATAAATCTGATTTTTTGCAAAAAGGTTGGTAAAATCCGTAACTTCATTACATGATAACTTCTTCTACACTATATTTCCTGCTTCTAATTGGTATGTTGGATAGATCTTCTCAAGACCTTTCTAATGATATAAAGATCATTAATGTTGGCCTTAAAATGAAGAAGTTATGATTTTTTAAAGTTTGGTTGAAAATCTGAAAATTTTGCATGTTTTTTTTTTTGGCCATGTTGACTCTCGGGTAGATCTGTTAATGTCCCAAACATGGCCTTAAACATTGATTTTGTAAAATCTGACTACACAAATGAACATAGAACGTTAAAATTAGTTGGGATGACCAATTGAAAAGTTTTTTCAAGAACGGCGTGATGGCTCTAATGCGCCCCATTTTTTTTTATTAATTTAAGAAAATTATTGTGGATTGGTCTTGCAAGTGATAGTGCGTGAGGAATTCAATTTTAATTATAAAAATTTTAGATTGGTCATTGAATTATTCTTTTTTTTTTTTTTTGTATAAGTAAATTAATTCTTTGATACTTAATTTTATTTTTTTTTACTTGAGTAAATTTTGAATTTTTTTTTTAAAATCAAGAATATTCATTAAATGGTATTTGGCTAGTGGGAGCCATTTTTTGAAGTGCTTTCATTTTATTTTATTTTTTGGAAAAAGGAAAATACTCTAAAAGTATTTAAAATACAATGTTTTAATATACGTTCATGAGTGGATCTTTGATTAGGTTATGTGATCCATTATAATTTGTTTTCAATTTCTGTGCTTGATCAGATAATAGCATCCTTAGAGGAAAGGCTATAGAACTTATCGAAAAATTATGTACTTATTGAAATTAATAAACGGATATGGATCATAACCTAATGAGACACGTAAATATTTGTCAGGATTGTGTTGCAACAGATATTAAAGCGGTGTTGAGAGTGTGTATAATAAAACTTAAAGGATGTGAGTTTTATTCTTCTATTACAATTAAAATTATTTTCTGAAAGAATTAATTTGTGATATCGTGGTATATGTCATAATTGGATAAATGTGCATGTTTATACTTTCACTGCACATTATGGAATTATCTTATTGAATTACATGATATCTATTAATTCATGAATTGTTATAAATGCTAAGGTCACTAGAATGTTGAGATTTTTACTTAAACTTATTGATTGTCAATTGAGTGATAGTTCGATAATTGGAAGATTTAGAGAAAATCTTACCTAAAACTATTTGATTTACCAATTGAGTGGGAGTTCTCAAGTTGAAAGAATTAATTTAATTATCGCTTATAACTCATAGAATTTTGCGTTAAAAAATTATGTTTATGGTAGTTAACAATAGGATTATGGACGATGATTGGGAACATAGTGAACTTTTGACTGTGTGCCTAACGTTGAACTATCGTATACATTAATTTGAATTAATACAAAATTATATACATGCATAAATGGGCATTGATTGAGAATAAAATATCTCTAAAATTTGATAGATCATGGCATCAAAATCTATAGTTGTTGACCATAATAAAGGTGACAAGCTAAATGTGATAACATTTGGCATAATAAGTTTTTATGTTAGAAGAACATGATGTTTTAGATAGCATCGTCCACGTAATTGAAGGCATGATGTGTGTCAGCCTACTCCAGAGAATAAAGATTAAGAACTTTGTCAAGTACGAAAAAAGTAGATTCTAGTACTTAAGCATTTGAATCGTTAAGTTCTGTTATAGACGATTTTTTTTCTCAAATGTAGCTGAGTTGAGATGATTAACACAATTAAAAAAAAATTTGGTTGTCACAAATTTTTTTTTTTTTGTGAGTAGTAAGTTCAAACTAGTCTCATTTCAATGGATGGGAACTTTAAAGGTCAATGTGAATTACGAATTGAAGTGTCAATTTCCTCTATTGACACTACCCACCCTGTGAGTTAAAAGACGTGCAACTTGACTTTGCTAAATCTTGAGGACGTGCTTCTGTAGCAATGTTCTAGTTCGCAAAAGATTTCAAATCTTAAACTTTGAATGAACTAAAAAAAATGCGGATATGAGGAAATTGGAAAATGGACCAAGAAGAATGTATCATATAGAAATATGTGAAAGTGGTTTTGATAGAGGACCAATATTATAAAGGTTCAAGAGTTTCAACCAAGCAGTTTGAATCTCTTAACTCGAAAGTAGTTAGGCTAAATGATACAACACTTGAATATGTTTTTCTTAGTGTTGTTTACGTATCAACACTATACATATTAGACTTTATCTTATGTGGATAATGAATTCAATAGTTAGAAACCCACTTTATATGAGATCAAGAAGTGTCTTTAGTCTATTGTCGAGTCTTTGGCTTGATACATAGATATATACAAATAATGAAAATGGAGTGGATATTTATATGACTGATAGTGCAACTTAGTGTTGTAAAATGGAGAAACTGACCTCCTCCACTAAACTTGATCTCAATTTTTGTTCTTCTAAAAGTGGTCTATTACTTGAACTTATACGTGGCACTTATGTTCATACTCACAGTGGTGATGTTTAATTATGGTTCTGGATATTTGTGCAATAGCTTGAGGTTTTAAGTTGAGAAAACCATTCAAAACAGTAAGAGCTAAACTTCCATTGAGTAAATCTATTCGAATTTCTTAAGCGATAGAGATGTAATTTCATATCTTCATTACATTTATAAATGGATTCACGTATTTCAGTTGTGTCTCTGATTTTTATAAGTTGAAGATATTATTGAATGTGATGAGACTTTGAGAATTATTTGAGAGCGTGAATCTCTATCACGAGAGATCTATAATCTAGGTAATGAAGAGAAATTCTTATTGGATTGATTATTTCTTAATCACCAATAATTATATGGTTTATTGGGAAGAAAGAATATAATATTATTGAATGTGAAGAGACTTGTGATAATGCAATCCAATTTATGTATTTTCTTTTGGGAAGAGTATTGGTTAACTGCAATGTGCTGCTTAATGGATTTAACTTAATGTTAGTACCTTCAGAATATAATCAAATATGGATTGTCTTAGACTCATAATCGATTATGTAAGTTCTTGATAATGAGTTTGGAAACACGAGTTTATTAAGAACGAGGTGAATATTTGAGATACACATAACAGTCCAAAAAGGTACTTAAGTGAGATTTTGGATGGATATTGGGTCACAAGATGTGACATTTGACATTATTTTTTCTAACAGGAGAGAAAATTTTGGAGAATATTATTGAAATTGATATTATGTATATTGATGAATCAGTTTTGAATACATAAGAGATGGTTTAAACTTCTGATTCAAGAGTGAGTAATATGTTTACGAGTGTGAGCTATCTATCTGAATGAGAACTATATAAGAACTATATAATTTCAATGATTCTTGATTTCAAGTGGGAGTTAAGAGTTATTTAATTTCAATTATTGGTTTAGAAAACTAGTGGAGAAATTTGAGGAAAGTGATTAAAGTACATATGGAGTATAGAATTTCAACCCAATTTGAGAAGTGGTTGAAGTTCTAATTGGACATTATGTTTATTGTGAATATTCAAGTTCTTAAAAATTAAATGGAAGACTAATAAATTTATGATAAATAAAGTTCATTTTTTAAAAGAAATGTTAGACTTAATATGAGTATATTGAGTTTGACGAACTNATGGTTCTGGATATTTGTGCAATAGCTTGAGGTTTTAAGTTGAGAAAACCATTCAAAACAGTAAGAGCTAAACTTCCATTGAGTAAATCTATTCGAATTTCTTAAGCGATAGAGATGTAATTTCATATCTTCATTACATTTATAAATGGATTCACGT